ACGGTAAATGAAGTAGATGGTGGAGTAATGACGGTAAAGGAGGTATATGGTGGGGTAATGTCAGTAAAGGAGGTATATGGTGGGGTAATGACGGTAAAGGAGGTAGATGGTGGGGAAATGACGGTAAAGGAGGTATATGGTGGGGTAATGACGGTAAAGGAGGTATATGGTGGGGTAATGACGGTAAAGGAGGTAGATGGTGGGGTAATGACGGTAAAGGAGGTAGATGGTGGGGTAATGACGGTAAAGCAGGTATATGGTGGGGTAATGACGGTAAAGGAGATAGATGGTGGGGTAATGACGGTAAAGGAGGTAGATGGTGGGGTTATGACGGTAAAGGAGGTAGATGGTGGGATAATGACGGTAAAGGAGGTAGATGTTGGGGTTATGTCGGTAAAGGAGGTAGATGGTGGGGTAATGTTGGTGAATGGGGTAGATGGTCGGTTATGTCGATAAAGGAGCTAGATGTCATTGTAATGTCGGTAAAGGAGGTAGATGAACGGGTAATGTGACTTCGTAAGAAATGGTCAGAATGAAAAAAATAATACCGGGATACACAACTTCAGATGGTAGTTATCATATATAGAAAGATTCGTTGAAATTTTATTTCTGTCCTAAAGGAGCAGATCACCCTAGTGTTTTAGTAATAAGAGAAACCGCTGATTTGCCTGAAAGGAATTTTAACTTTAAAGAGGTAAGTGAATAAAAAGTATTAAAGTTTAAAAAAAAAATCGGACCAGAAAAGGTTACAGGTTCAGATTTATTATCTCCTAAAGTTCTTCAGCTCACCAGTAATGTTATGGTATGGTCTTATCTAAAGGTTATTCTCCAGACCAACTTAAGCTCGCTAGGGTTACCCCTATTTTTAAATAGGAGAACCCTTTAAGTAAAAAAACTATAGACTAGTCAGCATAGTACCGACTTTTTCCAAAATATTTGAAAGGTCTATGGTTGAGCAACCCGAGAGCTACTTCAGCGGTATTTTCCATCCCTTCCTCTCAGCTTTCAGATGTGGATAAAGCTGTCAGTCAGCGCTGATAGCACTCACTGAGGGTGTCGAATGCCCTTGGACAGTAACAAATATGTTGCTGCCATTATCATGGATCTTTCCAAGGCATTCGACTGTGTACCGTCTGAACTTCTATTGGAGAAGCTGGGATCGTTTGGGCTGGGAGATGCCGCTGTGGAGCCTAAAGGAGCTATCTCTCCAACAGAAAACAATGTGTAAGAATAGGTGGTACTACAAGTCCAGTGCTAGATATTGTGAAACGTGTACCACAAGGCTCAATGCTGGGGCCGATTGTTTTTAATATTTTTTTATAAATGTATATAATTTTATGTGCTATTTTTGTTGTTTTGCTTTTATTTTGTGTAATTAGTATATGTGCTGCTTATAATACATCGTTTTATTTCTTGTAATTTCAATTCAGATTTGGTTTGTTTGTATTGTATGCAATCTGTGCTATTTATGTATGTATTGATTTATAAGTGTTGTAATTACGTAATTTGTTGAAGGCATTGTGTGATAAGAGTGGTTTTCCAGAATGTTTTAAGTTATCTAGGAATTTATAAATAACCATGGTCATCAAGGATGGGGCACTGTAGCCACCTTGATTGGACTATTTGCTTTTTTCTTTAACCAAATGTAGTTTCATTTTGGAATACTTTGTGGTATCCTAAAATCAAACAGAAGGAGATCACTGAGTGAAATTACTAATATTTTTAATGAGTTTAGATCCGAAACCTTTTTTTAAACGTACTGTGCAAAGAAAATAATACGAGGACAATTTTGACAAGCGTGTTGTGAAAAAGGAAATCAGAATTCGTGAAGCTAATCTTAAAAAACGTCGCGCTTGGTGTAAACTAAATAGATATCAAGCTGTCTATAATTAATGAAAAAACGTGACATTATTAAGTGATGAGTGTAAGGTTAAATTGGGCAGGGACAACCGTGTTTTGGTATGGCGACAGCCCAGTGAAGAATGGAACCCCGGTGTCCGGCAGCACGATTTACCCTAAAACACCCAAGAAGACCCAAAAAACACCCCAAAACACACAAAAAACACTATGCATAGATATTTATATCTCTGCTACCTGACATTATGTAACATAATGATGTTAACCGCTAATTGGATAGTTATAGTGACGCGAGTAATATTAACTATACGTTGAATTACTTCCCCTGTAAACAAGTTTACCGTTTGCCTATTCACAGAAGTTTTATCGATATTTGTTATATATAATGGTATTTTTCTCACTCTTTCCACACTATTTGACATCGGTAGCCTATGTTGATTTTGTGTTTGATAAGGGCATTTGCTCTCAAGAGGATATTGTTTGATGTGTTAACTTCGTTCTTGTTTTTTTAAGGTTCTGATTATTTCAATCTATTTTGAGTTTTCGAGTGAATCATTCGGGTGCTTTTTTGAAAGTTTTTGGTACAAATTTCCTCTTAATGCTTCTGTGAGGATGCGACGATTCTTAGGATTCTGGACATATACTTCTTCATTCCTGTGTTAACGGTGATCAGTTCACTGGTTTGAAGATGGACTAGATCTTGTAGATAGTCAGCCGGGTACTTAATGTCTTTGAACTGTACAAGTGCTTTCCAAATTTCTTGTGGAGAAGTTGGTTTATACGTATCCGTTGACGTTCATACGCCTCTTTTGTCAGACCAGGAACTTTACTGAAGTTTCCCCTTGTGATGATTTCGGTCACCCATACCTCCTTCATTCCGGCATTCTTGAATGTAGAAACTAACTCGACAATTCTTTCAAAAATCTTCCTTGGTGTAGATGTGGGTGAGATGTCATTACCTCCGACGTGGAGGAATGCAAATTCTGCACCTGTTGCTATGGCTTGCCTAACAAATCGCTGGTCCATCCTGTCTGTCCTCAAACCACTCCTGCCAAAGAATACAGTATTCACGCCAGAAATACATAGGTCTCCGTCACAATGGCGCCGAAGTCTTTCAATGTCTGCTACCATATAGAATCAAAGTAACCGGCTGTTTGATTGTAATTATTGCTTTTTTTTAAAATCCTTAAATGGTACATATATAAGTGTGTGTGTCCGTCCATGTACCTGTATGATATGACACGCATATCCAGAAACGTATCATTCTGTAATTGGCTTCTCCACATCTTCATTATTGTTGGAACGGTTAGATTCAATATCAGGACTTACAAAAGAACACATAACGAGAGTCATTGTAGAAACACTTATTAACACTAATTAGGGAAACCATAACAATTCTATAGTGTTGTTTAAATTCCAAGTAGTTAGGATATTTATCTTTCCATTATTTACGTGGAAGATATCTCTTAGGATATTAACTTTCCATTATTCACGTATAAGTAAACCTGATCCGCTTAATTTGGTTAATTTTTTTATACTTGTTGATTTCGTTTATTTTTATCATATCGTTTTCATTACACATTTCTATATAAAAAATTGTGACAACTTGTTCAAAAAATATTTATTTCAACAATTCTTTTATGACAATTTTTTGTTTTATGTACTGCAAATATATTTCCACATCTTTAAACAATCTTATTTATTTTCATCGTTGTATTTGTAATCTATGTATATATGTGTATAATATGATTATCAAAATAAATGGTTATAATCAAATAATCTGACTGTGCGTCTTTATGTGTTTAACCATGCTGTCATCTGTAGCATCGCGATGCAAGGGAGGTAACACATATAACATACTCTCGTAGATGCCGAAAATTAGGTTACTACATTATAATATTAACTGAATATCATTTAAGTGTCGTCTGTGGTTTTTTGTGGTCTTATCTGGATGTTTTTAGGTGTTTTTTGGGTGTTTTTGGGTGTTTTTTGGGTGTTTTTGGGTGTTTTTTGGGTGTTTTTGGGTGTTTTTTGGGTGTATTTTGGGTGTATTTTGGGCGTTTTTGTATAAATCGTGCCACCCCCGGTGTCTGAACCCAGGACGTGGACAACGAAGGTTTTTGCTGATTTTGGGTTGTATAACATACAAAGGGCTGTTGTAGATAGTAAAATAAATGGTGAAAAATACATAAAATTGTTGACAACTTTGTGTTGCCTGTTATAGCACGCCATTTCCCAAATAATGACTATATGTGTTTCAAGATGACAATGCTCCGGTACATCGTGCTCGTGTGGTGAAAAATTGTATTGAGGAAAATAGAGTAAATGTCATGGAATGGCCAGTCCAGAGTCCAAACCTTAATATAATTGATTTATTTTAGAGAAAAGTTAAGACTGAACTTAAGAAACAAGTCCACAACATCACCTCTCGTGTAATTTTGGAGGATGCAATTCGCACAATATGGACAGAAATATCCATGGAATTCATCCAAACACTGTACAAATCAATCAATCCCATTCAAGCGCATGAAAGCAGTAATCAAAGCCAAGGAAAGTGTCACAAAGTATTAGGTAAGTTTAAGTCATGATAATTACGTAACAAATGACTTTGAATTTCTGAGGTGTCAAGCTGACAAAACTGGCAGCCATCTTGGGTTTATCTTCACTTTTGGCACGGCACTGTACATTATTGTCGATTTCTAAATTATCAGATGCTAAAAATTAATATTCTAGATGTCACATTTAGGATATAATATTTGAAAGTATTGTAGAATTTAAATATATATATATATATATAGATATATAAACGATCGCATTAATGAGAAATTTAAATATCTTTATATTCTTTGATCGGGATTTTAGTCCGGGTCCGGGAATGGCGTACAAGATTTACCGGGGACCCAGGTTCAACCGTAACCGGATACTCGAAAGGAGCCTTAGACTAGCTACTTCCTGTTACTTTCATTCTCGAAACTGGCGGATATTATTTAGACTGGCAGGGGAATGCGATAGTGGATGATCTAAGGTGTTTGTAAGATTCAGTTACGTAATACGTTATTTTGCAAGAGTTCGTTGGTGTTTGTTTGATTGCTGCACCTTCCTGTAGAAATCTAAGTCACTTCGGTTTCAATAATACAATATCAATATGCTCGTTCCACTTCCCATATTCCACTCCAAATAGAAAATACATACGATCAAGATTATGAAATTGTTTGCGGGAAAATGGTGTCTTTCTGATGTATTCGGACGACCAATATCGCGACATAAATATTTTTCTGCTTGAACATTTATATTATTCTACAATTAAAAGCAGAGTAACGGACCTTGTGGTTCTAGTAAACAATTACAGGGTTGGCCACAACGGCTCATATGGGTAATAATTCTGCATTTGGGGAACAGTTATCCATTTTAGTAACAATTTTATTCGTTTCACCTACATACTTGCACTACATTCCGTTTCTCCCTACATCCAGTTCGTTTAATGTTTATGTTTCGCCCAAATATGATTATATATTTTAAGTTATGAATATCAGCTGAAGTGTTTTTAATAATTAATAAGCTTACTATTTTCATGTTTAACCATGGACTTCGATCTAAATCTGTGGTTTATGTTCATGCTACATTGTATGACTTGGAAAAAGGACAGAGTAGCTTAAAGAATGGGCATTGTATACGTATATATATGCCTGGTTAGTGTACAAACCACTTTACTAAGGCTAAAGCTGCAGTTAGATTGAGTGGAGCGTTGCTGGCTATATTACCACAACACCTTTTTTTCACTTGACAAAAAAGGCGGGATTATATTCATTTTGTTTATTCTTGTGTACATCAGAAAACTTCTCAACTTATTTGATGAACTGCATCATTTAAGTTGGAATGTTGATCAGATTTTAATAATTTCAGCCTCCAATAATAAAATGTCTGGACAAGTGTGATGGTATTAATGATAACGCATGGAGAGTTTGGACTGCTCAACAGTGTCATTATTAAACATTAGCCAGCAAGTATATATAAATAACTTCAGAGACAGGTAAATAAACATAATCATAATTAACAAGTAAACATGCAGTATATATTATCAAATTAACGTATTATTGTTAAAATTTACAAACATTGTTGTGTGTCTAAAATTAGGTAATTAGAACCACTCTGTACTCAGTCTGTAGATACTGTTTTATAGAAGTTCTGTGGTTGCTTGTTTAGTTAAATATTTGTTTATTTAGTCTACACAGAATTTGAACAGCAACTACAAAAAATGACCTATGAAGAACACATATGTGCAGCCATATTAGACTATGTCATGTACTTTAAACCAGCAATCCTTTTTCTTTTGAAGGTTCCTATATCAAGTTAGCCTGTTGAAGAAGAACCCATGAATGTGTTACACTAAAGAAGACAAACAAGATGAAGCTGTCCTTTACCCTGATCGTGTCTGCGATATTTCTTGCTTACATAGGCCACTCTATGTGGGTGATATATGGAATCTTTAACCCTACACCTTGTGCTAATAGCCAGAGGTGTATATATCCCTTCATTGGACTGAAACCGGAACCACAGTTACAGGTGTGTTTTAATACAGATGTAAAAATGGGGGAAATACAACCAATGTTATAGCTAGAGTAGATAGACCATTATACAACTGTTAAGTAATACTATAAATCAACCTTCTACAGAAACCAAAAATTTACCTGTACAGTATAGTAAACAGGGCATCAAAGCATAGTGGAAATGATATAAATAATTACCATGAATTGCTGAGGAATTACAGTAATACCCACGGTACTATGAATGACTCTTTAAGGAAAGTGCCCTGTCAGTAGGTTTGTGACAATGGACACCTCCCGCTAGTATTGGACCAATAGACACTTCCCGCTAGTATTGGACCAATGGACACCTCCCCTAGTATTGGACCAATGGACACCTCCCGCTAGTATAGGACCAATGGACACCTCCCGCTAGTATTGGACCAATGGACACCTCACGCTAGTATTGGACCAATAGACACCTTCCGCTAGTATTGGGCCAATTGACACCTCCTGCTAGTATTGGACCAATTGACACCTCCCGCTAGTATTGGACCAATGAACACCTCCCGCTAGTATTGGACCAATAGATACCTCCCGCTAGTATTGGACCAATGGACACCTCCCGCTAGTATTGGACCAATGGACACCTCCCGCTAGTATTGGACCAATGGACACCTCCCGCTAGTATTGGACCAATGGACACCTCCCGCTAGTATTGGACCAATGGACACCTCCCGCTAGTATTGGACCAATGGACACCTCCCGCTAGTATTGGACCAATGGACACCTCCCGCTAGTATTGGACCAATGGACACCTCCCGCTAGTATTGGACCAATGGACACCTCCCGCTAGTATTGGACCAATGGACACCTCCCGCTAGTATTGGACCAATGGACACCTCCCGCTAGTATTGGACCAATGGACACCTCCCGCTAGTATTGGACCAATGGACACCTCCCGCTAGTATTGGACCAATGGACACCTCCCGCTAGTATTGGACCAATGGACACCTCCCGCTAGTATTGGACCAATGGACACCTCCCGCTAGTATTGGACCAATGGACACCTCCCGCTAGTATTGGACCAATGGACACCTCCCGCTAGTATTGGACCAATGGACACCTCCCGCTAGTATTGGACCAATGGACACCTCCCGCTAGTATTGGACCAATGGACACCTCCCACTAGTATTGGACCAATGGACACCTCCCGCTAGTATTGGACCAATGGACACCTCCCGCTAGTATTGGACCAATGGACACCTCCCGCTAGTATTGGACCAATGGACACCTCCCGCTAGTATTGGACCAATGGACACCTCCCGCTAGTATTGGACCAATGGACACCTCCCGCTAGTATTGGACCAATGGACACCTCCCGCTAGTATTGGACCAATGGACACCTCCCGCTAGTATTGGACCAATGGACACCTCCCGCTAGTATTGGACCAATGGACACCTCCCGCTAGTATTGGACCAATGGACACCTCCCGCTAGTATTGGACCAATGGACACCTCCCGCTAGTATTGGACCAATGGACACCTCCCGCTAGTATTGGACCAATGGACACCTCCCGCTAGTATTGGACCAATGGACACCTCCCGCTAGTATTGGACCAATGGACACCTCCCGCTAGTATTGGACCAATGGACACCTCCCGCTAGTATTGGACCAATGGACACCTCCCGCTAGTATTGGACCAATGGACACCTCCCGCTAGTATTGGACCAATGGACACCTCCCGCTAGTATTGGACCAATGGACACCTCCCGCTAGTATTGGACCAATGGACACCTCCCGCTAGTATTGGACCAATGGACACCTCCCGCTAGTATTGGACCAATGGACACCTCCCGCTAGTATTGGACCAATGGACACCTCCCGCTAGTATTGGACCAATGGACACCTCCCGCTAGTATTGGACCAATGGACACCTCCCGCTAGTATTGGACCAATGGACACCTCCCGCTAGTATTGGACCAATGGACACCTCCCGCTAGTATTGGACCAATGGACACCTCCCGCTAGTATTGGACCAATGGACACCTCCCGCTAGTATTGGACCAATGGACACCTCCCGCTAGTATTGGACCAATGGACACCTCCCGCTAGTATTGGACCAATGGACACCTCCCGCTAGTATTGGACCAATGGACACCTCCCGCTAGTATTGGACCAATGGACACCTCCCGCTAGTATTGGACCAATGGACACCTCCCGCTAGTATTGGACCAATGGACACCTCCCGCTAGTATTGGACCAATGGACACCTCCCGCTAGTATTGGACCAATGGACACCTCCCGCTAGTATTGGACCAATGGACACCTCCCGCTAGTATTGGACCAATGGACACCTCCCGCTAGTATTGGACCAATGGACACCTCCCGCTAGTATTGGACCAATGGACACCTCCCGCTAGTATTGGACCAATGGACACCTCCCGCTAGTATTGGACCAATGGACACCTCCCGCTAGTATTGGACCAATGGACACCTCCCGCTAGTATTGGACCAATGGACACCTCCCGCTAGTATTGGACCAATGGACACCTCCCGCTAGTATTGGACCAATGGACACCTCCCGCTAGTATTGGACCAATGGACACCTCCCGCTAGTATTGGACCAATGGACACCTCCCGCTAGTATTGGACCAATGGACACCTCCCGCTAGTATTGGACCAATGGACACCTCCCGCTAGTATTGGACCAATGGACACCTCCCGCTAGTATTGGACCAATGGACACCTCCCGCTAGTATTGGACCAATGGACACCTCCCGCTAGTATTGGACCAATGGACACCTCCCGCTAGTATTGGACCAATGGACACCTCCCGCTAGTATTGGACCAATGGACACCTCCCGCTAGTATTGGACCAATGGACACCTCCCGCTAGTATTGGACCAATGGACACCTCCCGCTAGTATTGGACCAATGGACACCTCCCGCTAGTATTGGACCAATGGACACCTCCCGCTAGTATTGGACCAATGGACACCTCCCGCTAGTATTGGACCAATGGACACCTCCCGCTAGTATTGGACCAATGGACACCTCCCGCTAGTATTGGACCAATGGACACCTCCCGCTAGTATTGGACCAATGGACACCTCCCGCTAGTATTGGACCAATGGACACCTCCCGCTAGTATTGGACCAATGGACACCTCCCGCTAGTATTGGACCAATGGACACCTCCCGCTAGTATTGGACCAATGGACACCTCCCGCTAGTATTGGACCAATGGACACCTCCCGCTAGTATTGGACCAATGGACACCTCCCGCTAGTATTGGACCAATGGACACCTCCCGCTAGTATTGGACCAATGGACACCTCCCGCTAGTATTGGACCAATGGACACCTCCCGCTAGTATTGGACCAATGGACACCTCCCGCTAGTATTGGACCAATGGACACCTCCCGCTAGTATTGGACCAATGGACACCTCCCGCTAGTATTGGACCAATGGACACCTCCCGCTAGTATTGGACCAATGGACACCTCCCGCTAGTATTGGACCAATGGACACCTCCCGCTAGTATTGGACCAATGGACACCTCCCGCTAGTATTGGACCAATGGACACCTCCCGCTAGTATTGGACCAATGGACACCTCCCGCTAGTATTGGACCAATGGACACCTCCCGCTAGTATTGGACCAATGGACACCTCCCGCTAGTATTGGACCAATGGACACCTCCCGCTAGTATTGGACCAATGGACACCTCCCGCTAGTATTGGACCAATGGACACCTCCCGCTAGTATTGGACCAATGGACACCTCCCGCTAGTATTGGACCAATGGACACCTCCCGCTAGTATTGGACCAATGGACACCTCCCGCTAGTATTGGACCAATGGACACCTCCCGCTAGTATTGGACCAATGGACACCTCCCGCTAGTATTGGACCAATGGACACCTCCCGCTAGTATTGGACCAATGGACACCTCCCGCTAGTATTGGACCAATGGACACCTCCCGCTAGTATTGGACCAATGGACACCTCCCGCTAGTATTGGACCAATGGACACCTCCCGCTAGTATTGGACCAATGGACACCTCCCGCTAGTATTGGACCAATGGACACCTCCCGCTAGTATTGGACCAATGGACACCTCCCGCTAGTATTGGACCAATGGACACCTCCCGCTAGTATTGGACCAATGGACACCTCCCGCTAGTATTGGACCAATGGACACCTCCCGCTAGTATTGGACCAATGGACACCTCCCGCTAGTATTGGACCAATGGACACCTCCCGCTAGTATTGGACCAATGGACACCTCCCGCTAGTATTGGACCAATGGACACCTCCCGCTAGTATTGGACCAATGGACACCTCCCGCTAGTATTGGACCAATGGACACCTCCCGCTAGTATTGGACCAATGGACACCTCCCGCTAGTATTGGACCAATGGACACCTCCCGCTAGTATTGGACCAATGGACACCTCCCGCTAGTATTGGACCAATGGACACCTCCCGCTAGTATTGGACCAATGGACACCTCCCGCTAGTATTGGACCAATGGACACCTCCCGCTAGTATTGGACCAATGGACACCTCCCGCTAGTATTGGACCAATGGACACCTCCCGCTAGTATTGGACCAATGGACACCTCCCGCTAGTATTGGACCAATGGACACCTCCCGCTAGTATTGGACCAATGGACACCTCCCGCTAGTATTGGACCAATGGACACCTCCCGCTAGTATTGGACCAATGGACACCTCCCGCTAGTATTGGACCAATGGACACCTCCCGCTAGTATTGGACCAATGGACACCTCCCGCTAGTATTGGACCAATGGACACCTCCCGCTAGTATTGGACCAATGGACACCTCCCGCTAGTATTGGACCAATGGACACCTCCCGCTAGTATTGGACCAATGGACACCTCCCGCTAGTATTGGACCAATGGACACCTCCCGCTAGTATTGGACCAATGGACACCTCCCGCTAGTATTGGACCAATGGACACCTCCCGCTAGTATTGGACCAATGGACACCTCCCGCTAGTATTGGACCAATGGACACCTCCCGCTAGTATTGGACCAATGGACACCTCCCGCTAGTATTGGACCAATGGACACCTCCCGCTAGTATTGGACCAATGGACACCTCCCGCTAGTATTGGACCAATGGACACCTCCCGCTAGTATTGGACCAATGGACACCTCCCGCTAGTATTGGACCAATGGACACCTCCCGCTAGTATTGGACCAATGGACACCTCCCGCTAGTATTGGACCAATGGACACCTCCCGCTAGTATTGGACCAATGGACACCTCCCGCTAGTATTGGACCAATGGACACCTCCCGCTAGTATTGGACCAATGGACACCTCCCGCTAGTATTGGACCAATGGACACCTCCCGCTAGTATTGGACCAATGGACACCTCCCGCTAGTATTGGACCAATGGACACCTCCCGCTAGTATTGGACCAATGGACACCTCCCGCTAGTATTGGACCAATGGACACCTCCCGCTAGTATTGGACCAATGGACACCTCCCGCTAGTATTGGACCAATGGACACCTCCCGCTAGTATTGGACCAATGGACACCTCCCGCTAGTATTGGACCAATGGACACCTCCCGCTAGTATTGGACCAATGGACACCTCCCGCTAGTATTGGACCAATGGACACCTCCCGCTAGTATTGGACCAATGGACACCTCCCGCTAGTATTGGACCAATGGACACCTCCCGCTAGTATTGGACCAATGGACACCTCCCGCTAGTATTGGACCAATGGACACCTCTCGCTAGTATTGGACCAATGGACACCTCCCGCTTGTATTCGACCAATGGACACCTCCCGCTAGTATTGGACCAATGGACACCTCCCGCTAGTATTTGACCAATGGACACCTCAAGCTCCCACTAGTATTCGAGGGGCCAATTTTCAGACAATATGCCCTCTTGACATCCTGTTATTGTAAATATATGTATGCAAGCTGTTTACATGAATATACACGAAATAAACAGATGGGCAACTGCCATCTAATTAAAAAAGTGTCTTAAATAATAATTCACACTAATACTCAGATATGACTAAAAATCTACTTGATTAATATATTTTGATTACTATATGATTACTTATATGCACACATTTACGCAGGGCTCATGGTACGGTGCTGTCAATCTATCCTGTTTTTCAGTGTCAGGAAACATTGTACTGTTGATGTATTTTGATATACTCCTCAGTGCTGTTGCCCATCCCAATAACCCATGGTGTGTTGGGAACTTGATACAGATTACAGGTCAAAGTCACGGAGCATAAATTATTCAAGTCTACAAAATATCATCTTTCCATTGAATGCCTACAGTGGTTTCTTTTTACAGTGGTTATATACAATTAAACCATCAGTGACAAGGACTAAATACTATAAACTATCCGTTTGATGGTGATTTTGTTTTAATTTCAAGCTACTAGGCCTTTAAATAAGGACTGCCATGAATAAATCAGCCAATCAGCAAATGTTTCATACAATTGTAATCCCTACCTAAAATTTGTTCTGGTTTAATACAGTGCCTCTGAGTAATTGAAATAGGTAATAGCTGACATATTTTACATTGAATGATATCTATACAGATATTGAACTTCAGAAAAATGTAAAGTTTTAGTAGATTTTAAAATGTGATGGTGGATTGATATGGGGTCAAATGTCTGGGGGTGTTGCCGTCTCATTTCACAGGTTCGGCTTGTAAACTTCCGGTTGTCAAATGCCACTTAACTCACCAAAAATGCCCTTTGAAGCCTTTGTCAGGTATGTATCTGTGGATCTAGACAGTTGTCACTATAGTGTTGAACTTCAAATAGTAACGCTATTAGCTCAAAAGTTTAGTAATAACATATAGTAAATGAATTAGGTGTGTGAGTCCTTTAACCTGAAATAACAGACTATCTAGTTTTAAAAATATTTGATGGTGCAGATATATCTCTGCCCCAATAAAAACAATCTTAAAGAGCATTTATTTGCAGACTATAGCTAGCTATAGGACCTTGTATATTGAATGAAAAAGATATCATTGCAAGAAATTTAGAAAACATCCACAATCCATAGGATTAAAAGGCTACCAGATGTTTTGTAGGTACTATGCTTACGTGATAACTAAGATATAAGAGATCAAGTTTAATAATATTATTCAAATGTTTATATTTCTATGTTTTTTGTTTCAGCTGCAAGTCTTTACTTCTACAAAGCAGAAAGGTGTCAGTGAAAATGATCTTAAACTGATTTGGAGAAACAACAGCCTGGATATTCATAACTCATTGGAAAAGTAATTGTCAGTCTTTCGTTAAAAATAGAAGTTCTCACAGGTTGAAAATGTTCGCGTTGTGACTCTTTTAACTGATTCGATCCTCATTTTGTGGCGTGGACATTTCCATGTTTGCAATGGTTCTTAAATCAATTTGTTTCAATATGATCTATAACATATATATGTATGTGTATGATCAGTATGACCTATAACATATCTATGTATGTGTATGTTCAATATGATCTATAACATATATATATATATGTATGCTCAATATGATCTATAACATATATATATATATGTATGCTCAATATGATCTATAACATATATATATATATGTATGTTCAATATGATCTATAACATATATATATATATGTGTATGATCAATATGATCTATAACATATATATGTATATGTGTATGTTCAATATGATCTATAACATATATGTGTATGTGTATGATCAGTATGACCTATAACCTATCTATGTATGTGTATGTTCAATATGATCTATAACATATATATTTATGTGTATGTTCCAGTCTAACTGCGCATGCGCTACGATAGGTTCCGGGGAAATTCCATACAGGCTATATTTAGAAATCGATATTCACCGGATAACCAGTCTACATAACTTTTTGAGGACTGGTCATGTGTATAGGATCCGACCAATGTGATGGCAAGAAATGTTCATGCATATAATAAATATGTATGTGTATGCTCAATATGATCTATATTATATATATGTATGTGTATGTTCAATATGATCTATAACATATATATTTATGTGTATGTTCCAGTCTAACTGCGCATGCGCTACGACAGGTTCCGGGGAAATTCCATACAGGCTATATTTAGAAATCGATATTCACCGGATAACCAGTCTACATAACTTTTTGAGGACTGGTCATGTGTATAGGATCCGACCAATGTGATTGCAAGAAATGTTCATGCATATAATAAATATGTATGTGTATGTTCAATATGATCTATAACATATATATATATATGTGTATGATCAATATGATCTATAACATATATATGTATGTGTATGTTAAATATGATCTATACGTATATATGTATGTGTATGTTCAATATGATCTATAGCCTATATATATATGTGTATGTTCAATATGATCTATAACATATATATGTATGTGTATGATCAGTATAATCTATAACATATATATGTATGTGTATGTTCAATATAATCTATAACATATATATGTATGTGTATGTTCGCATGTGGAAATGGTCATGCTGGTTTACTCACAATATACATACATAATCTGTGAATTCAATTTATTTACATGCACAGTTTTATTTAAAAGTGAAATGAAACATGTACATTTGTATGCATATTATACAACTGACTGTTAAATCGAAGTTTGATACACTCCTCATAAGTCAAAAAGAATGTTTTGACAACTTTGCATTAAGAAACCTGAAATAAAAACCCCATACTATGTTACTCTCTGTATTACATTAGTAGAAGTTCAGTGTTGTAACATACTATGTTATTACTGTATTACATTAGCAGAGGTTCAGTGTTATAACATACTATGTTACTGACTGTATTAAATTAGTAGAAGTCCAGCGTTGTAATATACTATGTTACTTAATGTATTTCATTAGTAGAAGTTCAGTGTTGTAACATACTATGTTACTTACTGTATTAAATTAGTAGAAGTTCAGTGTTGTAATATACTATGTTACTTAATGTATTACATTAGTAGAAGTTCAGTGTTGTAACATACTATGTTTCTTACTGTATTACATTAGTAGAAGTTCAGTGTTGTAACATACTATGTTACTTACTGTATTACATTAGTAGAGGTTCAGTTTTGTAACATACTATGTTACTTACTGTATTACATTAGCAGAGGTTCAGTGTTGTAACGTACTATGTTACTTACTGTATTACATTAGTAGAGGTTCAGTTTTGTAACATACTATGTTACTTACTGTATTACATTAGTAAGAGTTCAGTGTTGTAACATACTATGTTACTTACTGTATTAAATTGGTAGAAGTTCAGTGTTGTAATATACTATGTTACTTAATTTATTACATTAGTAGAAGTTCAGTGTTGTAACATACTATGTTACTTACTGTATTATATTAGTAGAGGTTCAGTGTTGTAACATACTATGTTACTTACTATATTACATTAGTAGAAGTTCAGTGTTGTAACTTACTATGTTACTTACTGTATTACATTAGTAGGAGTTCAGTGGTGTAACATACTATGTTACTTACTGTATTACATTGGTAGAAGTTCAGTGTTGTAACATACTATGTTGCTTACTGTATTATATTAGTAGAGGTTCAGTGTTGTAGCATACTATGTTACTTACTATATTACATTAGTAGAAGTTCAGTGTTGTAACATACGATGTTTCTTACTGTATTACATTAGTAGAAGTTCAGTGTTGTAACTTACTATGTTACTTACTGTATTACATTAGTAGGAGTTCAGTGGTGTAACATACTATGTTACTTACTGTATTACATAAGTAGAAGTTCAGTGTTGTAACATACTATGTTGCTTACTGTATTATATTAGTAGAGGTTCAGTGTTGTAACATACTATGGTACTTACTGTATTATATTAGTAGAGGTTCAGTGTTGTAACATACTATGTTACTTACTATATTACATTAGTAGAAGTTCAGTGTTGTAACACACTATGTTACTTACTGTATTACATTAGTAGAAGTTAAGTGTTGTAACATACTATGTTACTTACTGTATTACATAAGTAGAAGTTCAGTGTTGTAACATACTATGTTGCTTACTGTATTATATTAGTAGAGGTTCAGTGTTGTAACATACTATGTTACTTACTATATTGCATTAGTAGAAGTTCAGTGTTGTAACATACTCTGTTACTTACTGTATTACATTAGTAGAAGTTCAGAGTTGTAACATACTATGTTACTTAATGTATTACATTAGTAGAAGTTCAGTGTTGTAACATACGATGTTTCTTACTGTATTACATTAGTAGAAGTTCTGTGTTGTAACATACTATGTTACTTACTGTATTACATTAGTAGAAGTTCAGTGTTGCTAAATGTGCAATGATAGATCAAATTTTTCATCTCAATCTGTTGATTGTTCACAAATTTTGTTTGCTGAAAGTATTTGTAAATTATGTAAAAGAAATTCAATGTTAGTATTTTTCTTTGAAGGGAGTTCAATGTTTCAATGCCATTAAAGACGAGGAGAAATGGAACTCTGTACATCCATGTGTTTGTCCATCCAAAGGGAGATGACCCATTCAACAGCACCTACAGTGTACACACCCATGTGCCCATGACAACCTACTCTCTGCCCCAGGCAGAGTTCTTCAGCCTACTTGGTGACAGAAATGAGGTACAGTCAGACCTGTTTATAAATACTTCCCCTATGGAGGGATCTTTCTCAAATTTCCTAGGAAGGTTCCCCTTGGTCCCTAGTTGTGCCTGTTTCATATTGAGAATCATCTTAAAAGCAACATGGCCGATAGGGAGTCATCTTGAATTTTGAAAAGTTTGTTATTGCTATTTCTCAAAAAATGCTTAACAAATAATTCTCAAGTTTTATATGAAGAGTGCCCTTAGTCCATGATTGTGCATGTACTATTTTGAGACTGATTGAGACAACAAGATGGCTGCAGGCGGTCATCTTGGATTTTGACATTTCAAGAATACTATCACTATCTCCCAGATCTGTAAAGTAATGTAAAAGAAATAGGTTGTATTTCTTTTTCATTAAGTAATGTACCAGTAAATACAGTCAAACCTTGTTATCTCAAACTCTTTTAACTCGAATACCCCGTTTATCTCGAAGTATCTCTCCGGTCCCGGCCAAATCTGTTCTTTATCTTAGTAAATAAAACTCTGATAATTCGAACCCTGAAAAGTCGAAAAACTTGGATACCTCGAAGTAAAATATTGGTTTCAATAGCGTCAATCCAACGTAGTATCCAAATTTCATTTTGTCACTTGTTAATTCTTTGATACAAATAAAACGCAAAAGTACGACATTTCGCCATTCCGTGTTTATGAACATCTTTCGTAAGTAGACTAGCATGAAATCAGTAAAAAAGAATTTACGATAAAGCTTAGGACTGTAAAGTTTACGGACTGTCAAAACCATGTTATTCATAATAAAAAACAAACTGCATCAATGTTGATCAACAGTAATCTGTACTTACTGCGAGTCCGTTTAATGATTTGTACACCTAAACAGACGACAGTGCAAACCGGAAAATTGGTCACAAAGCGTGGTCATGCATAAAAGAGTTCCACAGTTAAAATCACAACCTAGGACAGCTTTACGGGTTCATGTTTTTACAGGAGCCAGTATGGCTTTGAAAGTCGATCGAGAGATTTAAGAACAAAACGATAATTGCTGTTGATTACATCGAGTTGAGGAGTTGTCAGGTGTCATATTTGGCTTTAATGAATCAATGTGTCACATGTACGATATAATTTGTTTGTGTGTTTTCATTTACAGAATCAACTATGCGTACGCTCCATTACAGTGATTTGTTTTAGACTTGCGCACTTTCATTTCCGCATTGTAAACTACGAGATCAGAGACAGCGGGATAGTTCAGTTTGAAATGTAACACTTCAGAAGTAAAACTTGACGGACTTACAAATACAAATGCAGACCTGGAAAGATTTGCCAAGATCTATACTAGCCAAAAACAACATTTAATCACTAGGCCCGTCCATATTTAATAACGAATTCACAAAATGGTCCAACCGTTTTGATCGCGTTTAAAAACAAAAGTACGTTTTTCTGAAATAACTTACTCTATTTTTGTAAGCGTGTTTATTGTAAAATTACATAGCTGTATTTGTTATATTGATTACGTATATCATTTATCGATTGATTTAAAGCATTAACTATTAATAAAACCAACAACTGCTAGTGCTGTGTCCCAACAGCAAATTTCATACCAAATCTATGAACCCGCATAACTCGAATACTCGGATAACTCGAAGTTTTCCCACGACCCTGTCGACTTCGAGATAACGAGGTTCGACTGTATGTGAAACGACAAACTCACTTTGAGAGTTGTCACTCTGGGATCTCCTGTTACTTGCTGATTCATTAATATAGTAGTTCAAATTTTATTTTGATGTTATTTTGATCAGAATGAGAGCCTAGACAGAAACACCCCTATCAGCCACTGGAGGAAAAAGCTGTTTGTGACGCTGGTAACTGACCCTTTAGCGATCGACATGCACGCCATACCAGCTGACATTTACAAGTTTATCAGGTAAAGCTATAAATGTTTTGAGTAAATCTACAAGTCTATTAGGTAAAGCTGAGATCATAAAGTATATTAGATTCAAATTTGACAGGAGTATTATGGTATGACGTTGTCCGTCCGGCGTAAACTTTTGTTTGTCCGGCAATCTCCTCCTACATTTTTTCGACTGATCTCTTTGAAACTTGGTAGACATTAAAATCAGGATATGAAATTGGTCTCCCTTAAAAGAATTTTGATTCAACAATTTGTCCAAAAGTTATTGCCCTTTGTTCATTTCAGTATTTGATTTTTGTCCAGCAGCATCCTCCTACATTTTTTGACAGATTTCTTTGAAACTTAGTATGCTAAATAATCATGATATGTTGTTGTTTTTCCTTGAAAATAATTTTGATTCAAAGATTTTTGTAAAAGCTATTGCCCTTTGTTCATTTCAGTATTTGATTTTTTTATCTGGAGATTTTCTCCTACATTTTTAGCATGGTGAGCTTATGCCATACCGCAGCGTCCGTCGTCCGTCAACCTTTCCTTTAAAAAGCTACTTGTCATGAACGACTGAGCAGATTTTTATCAAATTTGTTCAAAAGCATCCTTGGGAGAAGGGGATTTTTTTTTGTATAAATGGTGGGTCTAGCCCCCCCCTGGGGGCTGAGGGGCGGGGCCCAATAGGGGAAATATATCAAATTCTTTAAAATCCTTCTTCTTCTGTAGGAATGAAAGGATTTGTTCCATATTTGGTCTGAAGCATTATTGGGTGAAAGGGAACTAATTTTGTATAAACCGTAGGTCTGGTCCCCCTGGGGGCTGAGGGGCGGGCCAAACAGGGGAAATATAACAAATTCTTTAAAATCCTTCTTCTTCTGTAGAAATAAAAGGATTTGTTCCATTTTTAGTCTGAAGCATCCTTGGGAGAAGGGGAACCAATTTGGTATAAACCATGGGTGTGGCCCCCCAGGGGCCTGGGGGGCGGGGCCAAACAGGGAAAACATAGTAAGTTATTCTTTAAAATCCTTCTTCTTCCGTAGGAATAAAAGGATTTAGTCCATATTTAGTGTGGTCACTAACGGTCACAATCAATGTGTGGGTCACTAACGGTCACAATCAATGTGTGTGTCTCTAACGGTCACAATCAATGTGTTGGTCACTAACGGTCAAAATCGATGTGTGGGTCACTAACGGTCACAATCAATGTGTGGGTCACTAACGGTCACAATCAATGTGTGGGTCAGTTCCCATTACAATCAATGTGTTGGTCACTAATGGTCACACTCAATGTGTGGGTCAGTTCCCGTCACAATCAATGTGTTGGTCACTAACGGTCACAATCAATGTGTTGGTCACTAACGGTCACAATCACTGTGTGGATCACTAACGGTCACAATCAATGTGTTGGTCACTAACGGTCACAATTAATGTGTTGGTCACTAACGGTCACACTAAATGTGTTGGTCACTAACGGTCTCAATCGATTTGTGGGTCACTAACGGTCACAACCAATGTGTGGGTCACTAACGGTCACAATCGATGTGTGGGTCACTTACAATCACAATCGACGTGTGGGTCACTAACGGTCACAATCAATGTGTGGGTCAGTTCCTGTCACAATCAATGTGTTGGTCACTAATGGTCACACTCAATGTGTGGGTTAGTTTCTGTCACAATCAATGTGTTGGTCACTAATGGTCGCAATCGATGTGTGGGTCACTAACGGTCACAATCAATGTGTGGGTCAGTTACCGTCACAATCAATGTGTTGGTCACTAACGGTCATAATCAATGTGTTGGTCACTAACGGTCACAATCAATGTGTTGGTCACTAATGGTCACAATCGATGTGTGGGTCACTAACGGTCACAATCAATGTGTGGGTCAGTTCCCGTCACAATCAATGTGTTGGTCACTAACGGTCACAATCAATGTGTGGATCACTAATGGTCACAATCAATGTGTGGGTCACTAATGGTCACAATCAATGTGTTGGTCCCTAATTGTCACAATCAATGTGTGGGCCGCTAACGGTCACAATCAATGTGTGGGTCACTAACGGTCACAATCAATGTGTGGGTCACTAATGGTCACAATCAATGTGTGGGTCACTAATGGTCACAATCAATGTGTGGGTCACTAATGGTCACACTCAATGTGTGGGTCAGTTCCCATCACAATCAATGTGTGGATCACTAACGGTCACAATCAATGTGTTGGTCACTAATGGTCACAATCAATGTGCGGGTCACTAATGGTCACAATCAATGTGTGGATCACTAACGGTCACAATCAATGTGTGGATCACTAATGGTCACAATCAATGTGTGGATCACTAACATTGTCCTTTGTATCACAAACTTATAACTGCAAATAAGCCTGAAATTTGACCACTTGAATATGACTATTCTTTCTGTCAGAATTAAAAAACTCTCCAAATATTATATCCATTTCAGTAGAGTCCATTGTAAGCACAGAATAGATCGATAGGCCCAATACATTAACACCAGAAAAGAACTGTAAATCTAACCATGCTTTGAAACCTTGTCAATCAGCTTACAGCCGAGCTGGCTGGAGGAGGCTAAATGTCACCATCACTGTTTACCTGTATTTTGCAAAAGCTTATCTCCCTCAGATAGACATTGGACTAACCTGATCAGCCGGATTTGATTGAAGTTGCTCTATTTGTAGGGTTGAACCATATTTGTGAGAACTTTGTAAGACCTTAATCTCCCTCAGAATATTCGACAAACCCAATCTGTCAGATCAGGTGTGTCAAGTTGACACTTTTGGCTTACAGGACCTAGGGCTTTCCCTCTATAATGGGAGACAATAATGCACATTATATTTGATAATATTCATGAATGACTTATAGCTTATGGCAGGCAAAAGATGGAGTGCGATGTTTTCTCAATCAAACAACACAAGATATTTTATCAATACGTATACTGTGAGTACTATCGAAATATGATGCTGTGCGGTCATGACAGGAATTTAAAGACAGGTTTGTTACGAACTTGTTACACATTTATTAGCTCACCTGGCACGAAGTGCCAAGTGAGCTTATGCCGTGGCGCGGCGTCCGGCGTCCGTCCGTCCGTCGTCCGTCCGTCTGTCGTCCGTCCGTCCGTCCGTCCGGCGTCCGGCGTCAATATTTTAGTTTAAATGACTTCTTCTTAATAACCGAATGGCCTAGGGTGTCGATATTTGGCCGTCAGCAAACTTGGATGAAGGGCTACAAAGTTTGTTAAAATTAATGACCTTCACCTATTTTCAAGGTCACAGGGGTCAAATATGTCAAAAACTTTAAACATCTTCTTCTCAATAACCAAAATGCCCAGGGAGTTGATATTTGGCCAGTAGCATGCTTGGGTGAAGGGCTACCAAGTTTGTTCAAATGAATGACCTTCAATTATATTCAAGGTCACAGGGGTCAATTGTATTAAAAAACCTTTAAACAACTTCTTCT